AACTGTTTAGGATAGTCAAGACAGAAGCAGACTGTGAGGGACTCCAAGAAGATCTCACCAAACTGAGTGATTGGGCAACAAAATGGCAAATGAAATTTAATGTGGGTAAGTAATGCACATCGGGGAAAAATAACCCCAACTATACGTACAGTATGATGGGGGCTAATTTGGCTACGACAAATCAGGAAAGAGATCTTGGCGTTATCCTGGACAGTTCTCTGAAAACTTCCACACAGTGTGCAGCGGCGCTCAAAAAGGCAAATAGGATGCTAGGAATTATTAGGAAAGGGATAGAAAATAAGACACAGAATATCTTACTGCCCCTGTATAAAACTTCTTGGCGTTATCGTGGACAGTTCTCTGAAAACTTCCACACAGTGTGCAGTGGTGGTCAAAAAGGCAAATAGGATGCTAGGAATTATTAGGAAAGGGATAGAAAATAAGACCCAGAACATCTTACTGCCCCTGTATAAAACTATGGTACGCCCACATCTTGAATACTGTGTACAGATGTGGTCTCCTCACCTCAAAAAAGATATTTTGGCCTTGGAAAGGGTTCAGAAAAGGGCAACTAAAATGATTAGGGGTTTGGAACGGGTCCCATATGAGGAGAGGTTAAAGCGACTGGGACTTTTCAGTTTAGAAAAGAGGAGACTGAGGGGGGATATGATAGAGGTTTATAAAATCATGAGTGGTGTGGAGAGGGCCGATAAAGAAACATTATTTATTAGTTCCCTAAATAGAAGAACTAGAGGACACCAAATGAAATTAATCGGGAGTAGGTTAAAACTAATAAAAGAACATTCTTCTTCACACAGCGTGTAGTCAACCTGTGGAACTTCTTGCCAGAGGAGGCTGTGAAGGCTAGGACTATAATAGAGTTTAAAGAGAAGTTAGATAATTTCATGGAGGTTAGGTCCATAAAAGGCTATTAGCCAGGGGATAGAAGTGGTGTCCTTGGCCTCTGTCAGAGGCTGGAGAGGAATGGCAGGAGACAAATCACTTGATCATTGTCTTCGGCCCACCCTCTCTGGGGCACCTGGTGCTGGCCACTGTCGGTAGACAGAATACTGGGCTAGATGGACCTTTAGTCTGAACCAGTACGGCAGTTCTTATGTTCTAACATTGTTAGGCAGACATACTATTTTATTGGGGAGATATATTTGGCTTTTTTTCTGAATAATTATATAGTAACAATAATAAATATTATCTATCTTTAGAATTTTCTATATTGTCTGTTAGTTTGTGTATCTAAGGGTACGTCTACACTTGCTCCCTAGTTCGGACTAGGACAAAAAATGAGAAGTAACGTTAGTTCAAACCAAGGGGTTTGATTCGAACTGTGTCCAGGAGCGCACTTCCTGGTTCAAATCAGCTGTTGAGTGGAATAACACTTGGGCGAGATTATGCTATTGAAGCACAGGATATTTAAATCCCTACTTCATTAACAATTTCGGTCAGCTACATTTGCATCCGTAGTCTGAACTAGGGAGCAAGTGTAGATGTACCCTCTGTACTTATCACAAGCATTCTTGAATTGCAAGTATTTAGTTTTACAACAGGTCTAGCTTATAAAACATTGATACATTTTCAAACAATAAAATCTACTATGTTAACTATGTCTGGATCCACGTTCATAAAGGTAGACTACATTTATGGAAGGAACAAAACTAATATTACATATTGCATATAACTTTAAAGTGTGGCGATAGCCTCAAATAATGCTAGAAAACTGCATGTTTTGTTTACAAAGTCTTTTCCATTTTTAGGGGAAGCCATACCGATCTATGCAGAAATTGAGAATTGTTCCTCTCGTTTGATTGTTCCAAAAGCTGCCATTTTCCAAACACAGACTTATTTGGCCAATGGGAAGACAAAGACATTTCGTCAGATGGTTGCCAATGTACGAGGAAACCCTATTGCTTCTGGGAGCACAGATACCTGGAATGGGAAAACTCTAAAAATTCCACCTGTAGCCCCTTCTATTCTTGACTGTTGTATCATCCGAGTAGAGTATTCTTTAGCTGTAAGTACAGGTTTTCGTCACCCGTACATGTAATTCTTCAAAAATAAGCATATCCTTTGAACTTCATTAATTATGATGCAGTTGTATGAATGTTTCACAAGTAATACTGGAACGTGGAAAACACAATACAGATGTAGCAAACTACACACATCAGTAACTTCCCATAGCCAATAGCAAGACACAATCTCTTTATTGGAAAGAGGGCAATATCGGGTTGGGTAAAGATTATTAGTGATTGGTTGCAGTTAGTATTGGAGACCAGAGAGGAAGAAGTTTCAGTGAACAAGATGCAAGCTGAACAGGATATGGAAGAGCGAAAGAGTTTTCTCTTTTGGGACACCTCCCTAATATATTATGGAGGAGGAAACCGTAAGAATTGGGGAGAGAGGAATTAAAGCTGCCCAGATTATTGAAACTGAATGACAGGAATTATTGTGATGGGGGGAAATGGAGAGAATTTAAGGGGGGAATAAGTAATACGGCTTCAGACACGTAGGCTCTGTCTACACTGGCCATTTATTCCGGAAAAGCAGCCATTTTTCCGGAATAACTTGCCAGCTGTCTACACTGGCCCCTTGAATTTCCAGAAAAGCACTGACTAACTACTGTAAAGTCATCAGTGCTTTTCTGGAAAAACTATGCTGCTCCCATTCGGGCAAAAGTTCTTTTCCGGAAAACTGTTCCGGAAAAGGGCCAGTGTAGACAGCACAGATTTCTTTTCCGCAAAAAAGCCCTGATCGCGAAAATGACGATCGGGGCTTTTTTGCGGAAAAGCGCGTCTACATTGGCACGGACACTCTTCCGGAAAAAGTGCTTTTCCGGAAAAGCATCCTGCCAATGTAGACGCACTTTTTCCGGAAATACTTATAACGGAAAACTGTTCTGTTTAAGCATTTCCAGAAAAGGGTGCCAGTGTAGACGTAGCCATAAGTTATTAGAGGGGAAATGTCACACTAGCTAGATGGAGATGAGTCAGAAGTGAAAAGGTAAATATAAAAGTTATCTGCATCAAGATATTTGTCAAAAAGTCTTACAAAAAAAGAGGAAAGGGTCATCCAGAGACTCTTAAAACTATTCTTTCTGTACTTAATCTAGTACAAGGTATATTTATCTGGAATCTCTCAGTTAATGGTTTCTAAATGACTTGCATAAAGGAAGTCTGCTTCTGAACTCTAGTTCCATTTTCTTCATGCTTTGTCGTGTTTGGGGGCGTTTTGTCTCTCAGGTGTATATCCATATTCCTGGTGCTAACAAGTTAATGATTGAATTACCACTGGTGATTGGCACAATTCCATATGCTGGGTTTTCAAGCAGGAATTCCAGCGCCGGCCAGTTGAGCATGGACATGAGTTGGTTGACATGGACCATGCCAGAACAGCCTGAAGGTATGTTTTGTCATCTAAATTCATGTTATCTATAATGGAGGCAGGGAGTGATGTGACAGTTTTAAAGCTTCCGTTCTTGTAATATGCCTTTTGAATAACTTCACTTTTATTAATACCATAAAAATGGCTTACCCTATGAATTTACTCTTCACCAGATGTAATGTCATTAAAATGAAATACCTAGTATTTGAAATTTTTCACAGTTTTACTGGATTATAAACTTCTTAATGTTTTCAGGAATTGTTATTCATATGCAATCTAGAAACAAGTGAATTATTCAGTGAATTTATCATTTGACAGTGACATCTTTTTCTTTTTAAGCCCCACCAAATTATGCTGATGTTGTATCACAAGAAGAGTTCTCTAGACATATTACTATTTACTCGCAACCAACTGACTGTGAGGAACAATTATGCAGTCACATGTTTGCCTATATACAGGAGTTTCGGTTTCAGCCTCCACCTCTATATTCAGAGGTAAATAAAACATGCTGCTATTAGATTTGTATATCAGTTTCATATCAAATTACATACACAATTTTAAACATTACATGAATACAAGCATTATAGGAAGTAATCATTTTGATTTTTTTGTCTGCAGATTGATCCACATCCTACTCATATAGAAGAAACACAGTCTGTTTCATTCATAGTCTAAACAGTATTTGAAATATCTGTACTCTGATGGAATGGAATCGCTTATGCTTCAGCTGTTAGTAAAGCTAAAAAGAAACTGCTTTATCATTAAAAGCTTAAGTTCAGGAACAAAGTGCAATTGGAGTTGAAAGTTTGAGTGTTTGGCTTGAAGAGAATCACTTTTGGATTAGTCTATACAGGAAATGTGGGTGTCAAATTATGAGACTGAGTAGGAACAGTCAAGATTTGGGTGGGTGGGAAATATTTGAAATATTCATAAAGAAGAAATATTATATAAAATACAAGCAAGAGGATGTAGCAAAGAAAACCAAAAATGTATGAAAGGACTGCTTGGAAGAATCTGGATTAAAGTATATTTGAGAGGCAGGATAGACTTTCCAAAAGATTCTCTTGTTACAGGGACTTCATTTTGCACTGTCTGTAATCAAGGAGAGGATTGTTAATTAAAATTTAGAGTTCCAACTCGTAACTCCAGCTTAAAAAAAACAAACATTTTCTGAGGACATATTCTTCGAACGTCAATCAAGTGGTACTATTTCATCATTCATGCTGAATTTAAAGTTATGGATGGCAAAATATAGCTACTCATGCAATATTATGAAAGAATGTCTTTATTGTATGAAAGACAAACTACGTAAGGTGGATTTTGATAATCGCTTATGCACTATGTTTTTGTTTTTTTCTTTTAAGGGATGTCAAGGAAATTATTCTAGCCTCTTGTGCCCCTATACCAGTTCTTTTTTCGTATGTCTTAAGCTTGTGGATAGTACAATAATGGGAGGCAGGGCAAGGAATAGAAAATGTCTTCTTGCCAATAGCAGCTATGTTTATCCAAAGTGGATAATATTTATTTATTCAAAAGCCTTTTAAACCTACCTCTGTCTTGGATATCTATTTAGGGTCAGGCTGAGACCAAAAACATCACATTAATCTTCAAAGTTCTAAAAGGGACCCTAAATTTCTGTAGTTAACAAATAAGAGGCAAGGGATTTGGGAGGAATATAAATTTAATTTAGTCTTAGTTCACATCTGAAGGCAAAGCAGAAAGTGAATAATGTATTTTGACAACAAGGGAACAGCATTCTTCTGTAAAAGCACATACTTTGTCATTAGATCCTGTTTTTGTTCAGAGACCTAATCTGTCATCTAAGGCTGCACTGTTCATTGTTATCTATGTGCTAGTATTTTTGTTGTCTGTAGTTTTGCTTTGGTGCAATATTTTACTGTTTTCTTCCTCAGGTTACCTAGAACTGTGAGGGTTTTTTTGTTGTTGTTGCTGCTAAGGATGAAGGTGCTGCCCTTGCTGCCTTCATGTAGAGTAGGATGTTTCCTACTAAACTTTAGTTTGTATAGGTAATCTAACAAATGATCACACTGTTAGCAGTTAAAAGGGCATTCTCAATGTGCCAATGTCCAGCTTACAGTAAAGTGTAGGTTATAGGGTTCTTTGAAATGCTAGAACTACTTTATATGTCTGACAAAAGGGTTTTGAGTTAGAAATTCTAGTACTTTATATGGTAGAACACTGTATTCTGTTGATTAAGTCAGTGTCATTGCAACCTCTGTCAAAACCTGCAGTTTTAAAAAGTGTAATACTTTTTTTTTAATATAAACTCATTATCTTCATCCACTTAACAGGGATTTTTCTGCCTGCATATATATTTTCACTCTGTCTTCATGTTTTAGTATGACTTTCTTCTTTAATGAATTAATTTCTAGCTCTTCAGTTAATTGACCCACCATTATGTGTAATAGATGTGGTACTGATGCAGAGAGATGTTATTTTAAAACTGCAGGTTTTTTCATTTGCAAGTTTAAGTATTGTCTTCTCTAGTAAATGCAGCCTTAACCAAAGTTTGAGTCCATCTTTTATATGATACTTTGGGTTGTCTTAGTCTCAACTTCAGTGTAGGTCTCGTGCCTTTTGATGGCACGCCCATTTAGTCAATGCAGTATTTTAATTTATAGCACCTTGAAAGGGAACACACACACACACACATTGTTTTAACTAAAATATCATTAATCAGTCCCAAGTAAGCTGATAGTCATGTTATTGCTGTTTAACTTTCATGTCCGTCATTCAGAATAATAGCCTAACAAAACTGAAGTGCTTATTATGACGACTATAAAATCTAATGGTTGATATGTTACCTGAGTAGACTGTTGGTACAAACATGATCATGCAAGCAAGAGCACGTGTCACTGAATGGTAAAGTTCATCTCTACTTTTAAAAAAAAAAAATAAAAAATCCTTGTGTTGCATTTTGTTGTTTGGAGATAAACTGTGGCCTTAAATTGTTTGCAGCAAAAAAGTTTTTTAAGCACACAAGGACCTTAAAGGAAAGGATGAGAATTTGGCCTTCAAATTTTACTCTTATACCTGGTAGAGAGAAGGTAGACTCTGGGCCTTAGTTGTGTACTTTGCACAATAACAAATTCAACGTACAGATGGTTTGTTTTTGATAACTGTGAAACAGGTTTAAAAAAACCTTGCTATTCAAAACTTTACAGCGATATGATTGTATTTTGTACTTATAAGCCCTATGGGTTTTTGTTAATAAAAATGTATAACTTGTTTTGCAGTGCTTTATTTATAGAAATTAAAACTGACATTTCAGAGCTAAGTAACTTAAAAGCTGCTTGTAATATCTCTTGTAGAACGGACTTGTCTATGCCAACATACACAGGCAGAAGATCTGAATTTTAAGTATGAAAGCTTAAGTTTACTTAATCTTAAATGTAATGGTGTATGACTGGAGAATTTTTGTCACTGTTTTCTATCCTGCAAAACTACCCCTATATTGTCATTGATAATTGAAACTGCTACTTTAACTTACAAGATTAAGTCTGATACATCATTAAGAGTAAGAGACTGCAAGTAGAACTCTGTTTGCGATTGAATTTTTCTTGGTCACATGCCAGCATATTTTGAAATACAAGCGATGTAGTGCTATCCTTTTGGATTGCTTTGATGTTTTACCACACCGTGCCTTCATGTAATGCCTCTGGTACTAAGTAATGCAATGGGACTAAATAATACAACAGAGCTGCACTGAATTATAAAAGCAGTCTGACTCCTTAGAGTAAGTTGTAGGGGATAGGCCCTTCGCAAGAGGGGAAAAAGGGTTTGGAGAGGAGCTGCCATATTGGCTTCCTACGCCATAAGAGTTGTTTCCTGTGAACCTTAGTAGTTTCATGATACAAATCCCTGCTATGCCAACCTCCTCGGATAGCTTAAATCCCAGCTGTCCAAGTCACGTCATAATCTTGACCTGTTGTGAAGCTCCTAAAATTGCAGGCAGATCACCTGAATAGCTCAAACAGCCATTGTGTGGTTGCAGCTAGTGGAAATCTTGCTTAAAAAAAATAAATGCAGTACTTGTGCAGCCATATTATTGTAGCACAGATGGAGCCTTCTGTGGGATACTGAACATTGCAACAAGTGGGAAAGATTAAGTCACTGAAAATACTTGCATTCTGATTTCACTGTCCTATATCTAATATATAAAGGAGAATAGTTGTAAGTTTGTGTGCTAATAACTTGGACACTACACAAGCTACCGCACCCAAACTTTGCATGGGATAACCTTTCCTCCAGGAGAAGGTTTTAAGGTACTTTTGCACACAATCAGGCCCAAGCTTAAGCTGCAGTGGCTGTCCCACCCACCCTAGCTCCCATGTCCAGCACTGTCTAGGACTCACCCCCTCTCCACCCCTCCCCCGCTGGCACAGGGCACCTACCCTCCCCCCCAAAAGAGGAGGGGCAATAGGCACTGCTTCACCTCATTTGCATATTTTCTTGCACGCCAGAGGACTCTGTAGATGTAGCCTTAGGGTTTAGCTTCCTTAGCAGTGGATTAAGCCAAACAAGGCGACAACATTCTGACTGCAGCCTAAGCTTGATTCCTGCACACGGCTGTGCTGAGCGTGGAAACCTTGCCAAGCTTTGGTGCGCTCTCCTGGTGCTTACACAACAAGAGCAAGGGAAGGGGGAGAACTGCCACAAGATTTGAGCAGGTCAGATACACATATGCCATCATTGTAGTCACCACACTCCCCGGGACTGGAGGGGGGCACTAGACCATGTGGGGCGCGAGTGGGATGGCCACACTGCTTCAGCACTCATTGGTACGAGAACAGTCTGAAGCCAACCCCATCCAGCGAGGCAAAAGTCTCTTCCCATGACCCCAGACAGTGCCCTTTCAACCTGCGATGATGGAGGGGATTTTCAAAAGCGCCTTAATGATTTAGGTGCACAAAGCCAATCACTGCCTTTCAGTGGGACTTGGGATACCTTTAATGGTCTTTCAGTGGGACTTGTGTGCTCATGGCGCTTACTCACAGAGCCTCAATGTATTTAGTTGACTAACTCCCTTTGCAACCAGTAGGAGCGAAGTGACTAAACGCCCTTAAGGGGGCTGGCCCCTTTTGTACCTCTCCCCTTTATACTTTCTGGGGCAAAATATAGCCATTGGCTTCGCGCCTCCAGGCGCTCTGCAACGTGAGATGAATTCAGCCTTTAAGAAAGAGCTTGCAGGGTTTTTCTTTCTTTACTGTAGGTGAAGGCGCCTGGTTCCTTCTTCTATTCTGGCTTCTGGCATGTTCTTCGGCCCGATGGAACTCAAGCACACACCCCAGTGAGCTGAAGTGATGGGGAAAGATGCATTTTTTATGCTGATTTCAAGGCTGGAAATTTGCCAGGAATGAGGCGGAAGGCTGAACTCTGAGGCTGCATCTAGACTGGCATGATTTTGTGGAAATACTTTTAAGTATTTCTGCAAAAGCGCGTCTAGATTGGCATGGATGCTTTTGCGCAAAAACATCTGTGGCCAGTCAAGATGCGATTTTTTTTTTTTTTTTGCACAAGAAAGCCCCGATCGCCATTTTAGCCATCGGGGCTTTTTTTCACAAAACAGTTCTTCCCTGTCTACACTGGCCCTCTTGCGCAAGGCTTTTTCCCAAGCGGGAGCGTGAAAGTATTTGCGCAAGAAGTACTGATTTTGTACATTACAAAGTCAGTGTTCTTGTGCAAATTCAAGCGGCCAGTGTAGACAGCTGGCAAGTTTTTGCGCAAAAGCACATGCTTTTGCGCAAAATCTTGCCAGTCTAGACACACCCTGACCGTGAGCCAGAGGCCGGGCAGGCAGAGCTCATGACCTGTATAGCAGACCAGCCAGATTTTAAAGCTACACCTGCTCTGGTGGCATCACCAGGGTGTGGGCTTGTGACACTCCTGGTCTTGTCCTTTCCTTCCCCCCCTCCCTCCCACAAAGGGATACAAAGCTACTATTTCCCTCTCCCCAAGGTAGACATGCAACCATCACCCTTTCCCCTGCCCCCACCTGCTGCTTACTGTAGACATTTACAATCAAATATTGCTGTAAATATTAAACCAAAGCCTTGCTTCCTGAGATGCAATAATAAAGCTGGGAAAGATCTTGCACCAGGTCAAAGCCTGCTCACCCTGCTGAGTCACGCGCACAAGTGGGGCATTCTGTTTTTCTGGTCGCAAGAGCCTATGAGCCAAAGGAAAGCCTATGCCACTGGGGATGCTGTGCAGCAAGCACTAAGGAGCTCAGCAGCTGGAGAAGGCTCGAGGGATTCTCTCGCCCAGTGAGTCTGCATATTTTGGAAACTGTGAACAAAATACGGGAGCCCACGTAATTGCTGGCGCTGTGATGCAACACGCCTTTTTTGCTAGGCCGTTTTGAACAATGAAGGATTCAGAAAGAACTGAGACAGGACAATAGGCTCAAGAACTGCTTGGAGGCTGAAGTCTCTTGGCACTGGCCTGACAATGCTGGGCAGCGTCTGCCTTACTCTAATAGGGTAGGTTAGCATTAGTCATAATAACAGCATTCCCAGTCTGGCAATCATACTGCATTAGATACGTCCCTACCCGCACATGGGTACAGAATGTTTCACCTGCCTTTACACAGCACTGAGCAAGTGACTCCTCCTTGAATCACCCCATTTAATAGGAAAAGTTATAATGGCTGGCGTACACATGGGCATCTGCGTCAGGGAAATGGTGTGAACATTGTTGTTCTTTGCTTAGTTGCACAGTGAGATTATAACATAAGAAACGTTGGCCTGGGTATTTAGGGGCCTAAATGCCCAGTGGCTGTAGATGTGTATTTGCTCTTTTCTGCGCCAATCTGAGTTTCACACTTGCAAAATCTTGGGAATGTAAATTTGCAGGAGGCATTTTAAGGGCCGTGTGTCGAAACTCAGGCCTTACCTCTCTGTTCAGTAAGGTCACTCACTGACACAACCAAAGGGCGCCACCATTGGCCCTTTGTCTCTCTAGCTGTGGAAGAGAGGAGCTAGCCATGTTCCTCTGTTCCCTGGTGTATTGTTAATCAAGTTGCCATCCAGAGAGGATTGTGCACTTCTGCAGGTTGGGGCTAGTGACTAGCCGTGTTCCTCTGTTCCCTGGTGTATTGTTAATCGAGTTGCCATCCAGAGAGGATTGTGCCCCTTCTGCAGGTTGGGGCTAGTGCACAACCCAGAAGAGAGAATGGCTGAATTCCTGCTCCTGGCAGCTTGAGGAAAGGAAATCTCATTTGGATGTGCGCAGTGACCATGACCAATAGGCAGTTGCGGCTGAAGAATGGGTTGGGAACCCCATCTCGTCCTTCTACAACCACCAAAAGAACTGGCAACACCCCCACCTTACTGCCAGCTCTCAGATTGAACCCAACCTTTTCCAGCTCCATTTGTCTCAGGGCGTCGGTGCTCAAGCTTTTGCACACCATGCCGCCTTCATGTTAAAACACAAGACAGTGCTTTGCTGTGCCTGTTCCTTCTTCGCTTCTGGTTCAGAACAGCCTTTTCCCGCCTTTTATTCAGACCAGGCTGGTAGTGGGGAAAGCTCTGATTTAGTATCAGATAGTTTTAGTAAATGTTATGGACAGGTCACAGGCAATAAACCAAAATTCACAGCCTGTCCATGACGTACTATACAAACTGAGAGCTAAGAGGCTACTACCCTTGGAGGTACCAAAATTCACAGCCTGTCCATGACGTACTATACAAACTCAGACGGAGCTAAGAGGCTACTACCCTTGGAGGCCCCTAGGGGATGCTACTCTGGAGTCCCTGCTGCAAGGCGCACCAGCCACTGCGTGGGCGGTTCTGGGAGGCTGCCCGAGCAGCAGCTGGTGCAGCTGGCCCCCAGGCCACTCCAGCAGTACCTGCTCCCAGGGCCAGTTGCTTGGGCAACGCTGGGGCCACCTACAC